GTGTGTGTGTGTGTGTGTGTGTGTGTGTGTGTGTGTGTGTGTGTGTGAATATTAGAGTACTGAGACCTGGGTTTTACTTACGACTGTGACACTAATTCATTGTGGTAACTGAACAAATTGATGAACCTGTCTGGGCCTCAGTTTTCTCCTCTAGAAAATAAGGGGATTAGGCTAGATCAGGAGTTCTTAACCTGGGAATTCATGCACCTGTGGATGCAGTTCAGAGGCTTGTGAACTTGGATGACAAAAAAAAATTAAATCTTTATTTTCACCAAGCTTGAACAGAAATTTAGCATTTCCTTCCATTATTTAAAACCATTATTTGGAGAAGAAGCCTAAGGGTTTCATTAGACTCCCAAGGGGTTCTAGGAACCCCAAAAGGCTGAGAACCTCTGGACTAGCTGGTCTTTGAGCCCCCTTGCAGATTTAACATCCCATGATTTGTCTATGTCTCTGAAATGGAAGGGAGTGGTGGCATCTGAAGACCTCTCCACTGGCCGGTGAAGCTGAGAAACCCTAGACTAAGTGCAGGATGAAAAGCTGTTTCCCGTTTGTCCCAGAAACCTCCTGCCTGACATTAGCTCAGGGCTGGGCCCTTGCCTTGGGAGGCAGGTGTTCTGAGCTGAGGATGGCACGAACCCTGGAGAAAATTCATCCTGTCCACCCTGTGCTTGGTTGTACTCGGGACTCAATGCTCCCACACTCCCAAATCCTCATTCTCTCAATACTGGAAAGGACTTGCTAGAATATTTGGGACCAATCTATCTTGGGAGATCCAGGGTGTGGCTCTTTCCATAGACTGGCCTGTGAGTTGTCTCTTGGAGGCCCCTATTCCCCCATCCTGACTCCCCCAAAACTCACTCTGACTTCTTCCTTTTATTTCCATTTAGACAGTGAAAATGGTGGTGGGCCTGTTGGCTTCCATCTCCATTTCAGAGCTTCTCTTGGCCTTTGTTGTCTTCTGCCTGATCTACTGGGTCATTGAATCTTACTCTCGAAGGGTCCCCAAGGGACTCAAAAGACTACCTGGACCCTGGGCTTGGCCTCTGATTGGCAACATATTGACTCTGGGGAAGAATCCTCACTTGGCCCTGGCCCGACTGAGAGAGAAGTATGGGGACGTGATGCAGATTCAGATTGGCTCCACCCCAGTGCTTGTGCTGAGTGGCCTGGAAACAATCAGGCAGGCCCTGGTGAGGCAGGGGGATGACTTCAAGGGCCGACCTGACCTCTACAGCTTTTCCCTTATTGCAGATGGCTATAGCATGGCCTTCAACCCTGACTCAGGGGAGGTCTGGGCAGCTCGAAGGAAGCTGGCCCAGAATGCTCTCAATACCTTCTCTGTGTCCTCCTCCCCATCCTCTTCCTCCTGCTACCTGGAGGAGCATGTGAAGAAGGAGGCTGAATGCTTGATCCAGAAATTCCAGGAGCTGATGGATGGGGTAGGACACTTTGACCCCTACAATCATGTAGTGGTGTCTGTGGCCAACGTCATAGGCACCATGTGTTTCAGCCGGGGCCATGCCAATGAGAACCAAGAATTGATGAGAGTCGTTACCAAAAGTCATGAGTTTTCTGAGAGTGCCTCCTCAGGCAACCCAGTGGACTTCATCCCCATCCTTCGCTACGTCCCAAACCCCAAACTGCAGAAGTTCAAGGCTTTCAACCAGAGGTTCTTAAAATTCATGCAGAAAACTGTCCAGGAGCACTACAGAGACTTTGATCAGGTAAATGCAACTGTGAGGTAGGGTCCCTCACCCTCCCTGGAGGCTCTCAGAGTCTTGGCCTTCTCACCTTTGGCCTAGGTGGCACAGTGGGTATGAATGTTGGGTGGGGAGTCAGGAAGACCTGAGTTCAAATCTGACCTTGGAGACTACCTAGCATGCAGCTGGGGAAATCAGGATAATAACAGCACCCACCTCTCAGTGTTATTGTGAGGATCAAATAATATACTATCTGGGAAAGCTCTTTGCAAACCTAAAAGGGCTATAGAAATGCTAGTTTTTATTACTATTATTATTAGTCTTCACTGATGACTTCTTCTATCCAAGTGATGAACAACTGACCATTATTGAGTTTACACATGTGCTTTTTCTTACGAGACCATCGCAATGCTATGAGGTAGATAGAATTATCTCTTTTTTACAAGAGAGAAAGCTGAGGTGCAAAGAATCTAGGTGACTTCCTCTGGTCACACAAATAGTAAGGAGCAGAGCTCAGATCCCAACCCAGGTCCTCTGACTCCAAATAGAAGGATTTTCCTCTTATGTCCCAGACATCTTTATTAGCATGGGGACAGAAGCAGAGCTCTGAGATGAAGATAAGGAAGGTGGCAGATGGTCCTGAAAAAGCCTTAGAATGGGAGTCAAGAGATCTGAAATTTAGTCATCAGATCATAAACGCACACAAGTGACTTACACTATCCAAGTTTGTTGTGGTGCTAGTGATGTTTTCCCACATGACCATTCTTTTATCTCCTTTAAAAATTAATTAAAATTAATAAATTTAATTTTTATAAAATGAAAATCTGCCTTCTCTCTTGCCCACCTCCCTCTTCTCATAAAGAAAGAAAAAAAGAGCTCCAGTCACAAACATGCATAGTCAAGCAAAACAAATTCCCATATTGGCCATGTCCAGAAAAAAAAAGAATGTGTTTGAATCTGTTCTCCAAGTCCATCAGCTCCCTGTCAAAGGTGGGTAGCATATTTTATCACAAGTCCTCTGAGATAGAAGGGTACTTTGAAATCATGTAGTCTAAATCACTCATTTTTACAGAAGACGAAATTGAGGCTTAGAGAAGGGTCACATAGCTAGTTAGTGTCCTGGTCCCTGATTCAGTGCTCATTTTTTAAAATTATTTTTTTAACATTCTTTTCTTTTTAAATGTTGAGTTCCAAATTCTCTCCCTCCCTCTTACCCCTCCCCCACACACTGAGACAGCAAGCAATGTGATATCCATTATACCAGTGAAATCATGTACAACATATCTTTATATTAATCATATTTCCTTAAACAAAGCAAGAAAAATAAAGAAATGGGGAAAATTATACTTCAATTTGAACTCAGAGTTCATCAGTTCTCTCTGGAGGTGGATAGCATTTTTCATCATGAGTCATTTTATTGATCAGAGCAGCTACCTTTTTCACAATTGATCATCATTACATTGCTGTTGTAATGGACAGTGGTCCAGGAGACAATAATCTCCTGGTTCTTCTCACTTCACTTTGCATCAATTCATGTAGATCTTGCCATGTTTCTCTGAAACCATCCCCCTTGTCATTTCTTATAGCACGATAGTATTCCATCACCATCAAATGCCACAACTTGTTCAGCCATTCCCCAATTGATGAGTATCCCCTTGCTTTCCCATTCTTTGCCACCACAAAAAGGTTTGAGAATTAAATGAGTTAAGGAAGGTGAAAGTGCTTTGAAGAAATATACTGTTGTCAATATTTTTTGTACATAAAGGTCCTTTCCCTTTTCCTTTGATCTCTTGAGGATACAGACCTAGCAGTTGCATTGCTGGGTTAAAGGGTAGGCACAGTTTTATAGCCCTTTGGGCACAGTTCCAAATTGTTTTCCAGAATGGTTGGACCAGGCCACAACTCCACCAATACTTTATTAGTGCACCTATTTTTCCCTCCTCCTCTCCAGCATTTGTCATTTCTGATAGGTTTGAGGTGGTACCTCACAGAAATTTGCATTTCTCTAATCAGTATGGAGTTAGAGCATTTTTTCATATGACAATAGATAGCTTTGATTTCTTCTTCTGAAAACTGCCTGTTTATATCCTTTGACCATTTATCAATTAGGGAATGGCTCTTATTTTTATAAGTCTGACTCAGTTCTATACTCAGTATATATTTGACAAATGAGGCCTTTATCAGAGAAATTGCTATAAAATTTTTTGATATGACTTCATTGCCCATAGGCAATGAAAGGTACCTTTTAATAAAATGTAGTTTCCCTGATTAAGTCTTTTAATTAGGTCTGTTTTGCTTTTACTTTGTCTCGGATCAGAATTGCTACCCCTCTCTTTTTTAACTTCAGCTGCAGCATATTAGATTCTGCCACAGTCCTTTATTTTAATGCTGTGTGTGTCTTTCTGTTTCCAGTGTATCTCTTGTAAACAAGATATTGATGGATTCTGGCTTCTAATCTATTCTGTTATTTGCTTCTGTTTTATGAGTGAGTTCATCCTATTCACATTCACAGTTATGACTACTATGTATTTCCCTTCATCCCATTTTTTTCTGTTTCTTCCTTTCTCTCTCTCTTTCTCTCTCTCTCTCTCTCTCCTCAGTCTGTTTTGCTTCTAACCATTGTTTCCCTTAATCCACCCTCCTTTTTATGATCCCGTCCTTCTCTTATTCCCTTCCCCTCCCATTTCCCTATTAGGTAAGTTATATTTCTGTAAACAACTGAGTGTGTATATATGTATATTCTTCCCTCTTTAAATGAATTCCCATGAGAGTGAGATTCAAGCATTACCTGCACTCTCCTCCAATTTCCCCCTCCATTGTAAAAGTTCTTTCTTGAAATCCTCTTTTATTTGAGAAAATTTCCCCCATTCTACTCTTCCTTCCCCTTTTCCCAGTGCCTCCCTCTTTCTCGCCCCTTCATATTTTTGGAGATCATGGCAGCATAATTAATATCTTACTGCCCTAATAACCATAAAGTTCTAAGGAGTTACATGTATCATTATCCCATTTAGGAATGTAAACAGTTTAACTGGATTGAGTCCCTTACGATTACTCTTTCATATTTCTCTTCCAGAGCTCTTTGTACAGCACCCTGCTATCTCTTCCTCTGACTAGCTTTGTGACCTAGAGTAGCTCACTTCTCTGGGCTTCAGTTTCATTATCTACAAAATGAAGTTACTAACTCCTGCCCTGTTTCCTTACAGGAGAGTTCTGAGAATTAAATAAGGTGAGGAAGGGGAAAGTGATTTGAAGAAGTATATACTGCTGTGTTCCTATCAGGGGTAATTGTGAGTGGTCATTGTTTACCCACTGAAACTCTATATCCAAAAGGCTAATTGTCTTCTTTGGGAGACAAAGGAGGAAGTCAGTGTTAGTTTTCGTCTATGTTCCCAACAATCTTTTCTTGGCCTAGAAACAGAATCCTTGTAGAAGGATTACACTAAGGTATATTTCAGAAAGAAATGCCAATGGATTTCCAGACCACACATAAAGTCCCTTCACCTGGCTTAGGTGTGAGCTGCCCTGTGACCCCCTCCATGAAAGGGCCTGTCCTTGGGTTATTATCTTTTATAGGATGTATTGCTAGTATGACGTAGGGTTCCCAAAACTGCCTGTGGCTCCAGAAGCCCCAGGAGAGAAAAATGGTGGCCACCATCCTTGGGCTTCCTGGATGAAAAAGTGATCATTTACCTGTCCTTTCTTTCAGAATAATATTGAAGACATCACTAGTGCTCTGTTCAAACACAGCCAGGACAAGGGCCAGGGGAACATCAGCACCAATATACCAGAGAGGCTGATCACCAATCTCATCAATGACATTTTTGGAGCTGGTAAGATCCACCTTTCCCTTCCCTATTATCTGATGTCCTTGCCTAGGATCACAGCATTTTCATAGTGTGGTATCCTAACCTGCATGTGGGTCTCCTAGATAAGATTGTCCTAGATTCATGGACCTCTCTGTGTCCCATATCCACTCAAAAATCATAGCTTATAAGCAGCCACGAAGGTGTTTACTTTAAAAAAATTATTTTTATATGGATTCATAATCTATCCCTCTTAATATCCCCCATTGAACAACAACAACAAAAAGCTGAAAAACAAAACCCTTATCATAAAAACGCATAGTCCAGCAAAACAGTTTGCTACATTGGCCATGCCTGGATAAACATTTCTCTGTCTACATTGGAAGTTCATCATGTCTCTGTCAGAAGGTGAGCTTTTGGGACTTAGGGTTTTTCTTGGCACTGATGAGAATTCTAAAGGTTTTCAAAGTTTTTTTTTCTCTCCAATGTTGTCATTTTGTAAATTATTTTCCTAATCCTGCCCACTTCAATTTGCATCAGTTCATAGAAGTCTTCTCAATTGCTTCTGAAACTAAACATTTGGATGTTTTTCATGACACAATAATATCCCATTGCCTTCATATACTATAATTTGTTTAGCCATTCTCCAATAGGAAGATAGACCCTTAGTTTGCAATTTTTAAAATGCTACAAAAAGAGATGCTATGAATATTTTTATATTTAAAGTTCTTTTTCTTCTTTCTTTGATCTCCTTAGGACATAAGCTTGCCAGTGGTATAGCTGTGCCAAAGGGGATGTCGAGTTTTGTAATTTTGGGGGCCTAACTCTAACTGCTTTCCAGAATGGCTCAACCATTTCACAGCTCCACTATGTCTAGTGTACCTGTTTTTCCATAGCCACTCCAAATTTGTCATTTTCTGTTTTTGTCATCTTTGCCAGTCTAATGGGGGAAAGGTGAAGTCTCAAAGTTACTTCAATTTGCATTTCTCTCATTACTATTGAACTCCCATAATTCTCTAGAATTATAGGGACTGAGGATGCTCACCAAGATCTGAGCCCCATTGACAGGCCAGAGTCAAGAAATGGGGAGTTTGCTCCCTGTAGACTGCATGGGAGGGCAGAAGAAGCCCTAAGACTGTGTGCGGCATGCATGGATCTTCCTCACTTCATTCTCTGACCATTCCCTCCCTGCTGATCCACTCTGTCCAGGTTTTGAAACAGTCACCACAGCCATTTCCTGGAGCCTCATGTACCTTGTGACAAAGCCTGAGATCCAGAAGAAGATCCAAGAGGAGCTGGGTAATTGAAGAAAATACTGGAGAGTATACAGAACACCTTAAAGTTTGCTGAGTGTTTTACATGTTGTCTAATATTGTTTTCCCACAAGCCAGTGAGGGGAGTACAGTGGCTATTGTCTCTCTTTTACAAATAAGGAAGCAACAGTTTTGTAGAGGTCAAGGGAACAAGCACCTAAGTGTGTCTTTTATGTACCAGGCACTCTGCTATGTATTGGGAGATCCACAGCCTATCCACAAAGAAAGGCAAAAGAGTCCCTGCCCTCGAGGAGCTTCCATTCTAATGGGAAAGACAACATGTAAACAACTGTGTAAAATCAGGGGATGGATAGATAGACAGACAGGCAGGTAAGCAGATAGATTGACAGATAGAGAGATAGATATGAAAGACAAGGGGAGGAGAGAGAGAGACAGAGAGAGAGGATAAATTAAAAATAATCTTAGTGGAAAGGCACTAGCACCAAGGGAACTTAGGAAAGGTTTCTTGCACAAGGTAAGATTTTAGCTGGGACCTAAAGGAAATCAGAGAAAGAAGAGGTAGAGATGGGGAAGGAGAGTGTTCCAGACCTGGAGGACAGCTAGTGATCATGATCTGATTTGGTTTTCTTTGTTGTTTGCTTTTTTGGAGTGAGGCAATTGGGGTTAAGTGACTTGCCCAGGGTCACACAGCTAGTGTCAACTGTCTGGTCTGAGATGGGATTTGAACTCAGTTCCTCCTGACTCCAAGACTAGTGCTCTATCTACTGCACCACCTAGCTGCCCCTCATGCCCTGATTTGGAGGATGGAGCACCATGTGTGAGGAATAGGAAGGAGGCCAGTGTTACTGGATCACAGCTTATGGGGAGGGGAGTAAGGTGTGAGAAGATTGGAAAGATAAGAAGAGGCCAGGTTATGAACGTCTTTACAAGGCAGAAAAATTGTCATTTGATTGAGGAGGCAACAGGAAGCCAGTGGAGTTTACTGAATAGGGGTGACATGTTCAGAACTGCACATTAGGCAGATCCATTTGACCACTGAGGGGAGGATGGACTGGATCAGAGAGGCAGGGAGGCCAACCAGCAGGCTACTGTCTAAGGATGAGCAGATGACATTGACATTTGTTTATAGTCACACACCAAATGGTCAAAGGTTTAAGGTGAACCTGGATCTCTCTAGACTGCACATCCAAGATGTATTTTCCCATACCCCACCACTTCTCAGGGTATAGACTCTTCATGATTCACTAAGGGGGCAGGGGGAAATAAATCCCCTGAGGGGAAAAGCAGGGCAGCTTCCTGCTCCCTCTGACTCTCCTCCCTTCTGTAGACACCGTGATTGGCAGAGAGCGAAGGCCCCTGCTTGCAGACAGACCTCGGCTACCTTACATGGAGGCCTTTATCCTGGAGATCTTCAGGCATACCTCCTTTGTCCCTTTTACCATCCCCCACAGGTAAGGACCATTAAGTCTTCTTTCAAAATCCCTAGGTCATCCATCCCTTCTTTTCCACCCACACTGTCACCAACTTCATCCCCTCTGGCTGTGTCTCCTCCACCTTCTCTGATTCAAGTTCTGACCAAGACTTTCAAAAGGTCTCCTCATCTCTGCCCTCACTGCCACCTCCCTAGACTAGGACAGATCTTCCCACCTTCACCTCTTCCATCCTTCATACTCCTGCTGTGCAGTCTACACACCACGCAGGCTATCTTCTCCACTCTCTCCCTACCTAGGAATAAGGTTCTGTCCCCTGTAACCACCCAGGCTTTAAGAAGCCAATTTTGGCCTTAGGATCCCAGACCTCCACCTGAATTTCCTGGCATCTCCAGCCCTACCTTGGGGTATATACCTCCCCATCTCCTTTCTAGCTTCTCTTTATGTGTTTTCTTCTCTCCTTCATTAAAATGTAAGCTCTGTGAGGTCAGGGGATATGTGGAATTCCTAGTGCTTAGCACAGTGCCTGGCATATAATGAACTCAGTAAATGTGTGTTGACTTGACTATCTATCTATCTATCTATCTATCTATCTATCTATCTATCTATCTA